CTGCAGTCCCAAGCCTCACTTTTGTCTCGGTGGCGGGGGCGGGGGCGGGGGGCGGGGCCTCTTGGGGACTCCGGGATTCGGGGTCTGGCGGTGGCGGGGAATCCCCGGGCTGTACCAAGGGCTTGATGGGGGCGGAGGAGCTGAGCGCACCCCTCGGGGAAGCTGCCGCATGTTTGCGCCGCTGGGGCCCCACTAGAAAATTTTTGCCTCACAGGGTGCTCCTCTTGCTGTCAGGGGTAATAAATTGGGACCAGAATCGAGGCCCCTGGGTCAGCTACCCCTTTGCCTGTTGGCGCGCTCCGGAGGCGGGGCCTCCAAGGCCAAGTCCAGCGTTACTTGACGCAAACGCCCGGACCAAATTCTAAAGTGAAGGATGCTTAGAGAACGAGAGTCTTTTTATTTTCTTCTGTCCCGAGGATGCTTCGGGCTTTAGGGACCCAGGCTGGTGTCACAGATGCTGTAACTCATTGCAGGGGCAGACAAGTGTTCCTGCAAGGAACGGCGCCTCGGACCAAGACTCTCCCTAGCTGGGTTACACCCGGACTCTTGGGTGTACGCAGACACAGGGCACCCACAGCATGACAGAAGCACAGAGGAGGGAGAGACAGAAGGGAAGAAATCCTTCTTTCCGGAGATGATGGCTTTTGAGTTGGGTTTGTGAGATAACCGATAAGAGTTGGCCAGAGGAGAGAAAAAAGGATTCTCGGCCGGGGGCCGGGGGAGGAGGGGGCGGGCAGTGCTCAGAGGTTTGACGACATAAAAATTCCCATGGGTTGAGGGCTGCTAGGTCAGGAGTCAGAACTGCCTATGGAGGGGAACAAGGTTTAGGGGCCCAGTTGGTCACAGACAGTTTAGGTCCCTAAGATTAAAGGGATGCAAGCTGGGCGCGGTGGCACAGGACTGTAATCCCAGTGATTCTGGAGGCTGAAGCAGGAGGATTCCAAGTTCAAGGCCAGCCTCAGCAATTTAGCAAGACCCTGTTTCTCTGGGGCTAGGGCTATATTTCAGTTGGTAGAGTGCTTGCCTCACATGCATAGGACCCTGGCTTCAATCCTCTGCACCATAAAAAAAAAAAAAAAAAAAAAGATCCTGTCTCAAACTTAGTGAGACCCTGACTCAAAAGGATTGGGGATGTAGCTCAGCACCCTGGGTTCAATCTACAGTACCAAAACCAAAATCAAAATAAATTAGTTAATTAAATTAAAAGGGGATGCAGCTGTTTTAATCTCGGAAACCCCCTTGATCCAAAGAACACGAGGTTTGTTTGCTTGAGGTTTTATGGAGTAAGTGGCTGAGCTGGCCAGTAGCCCAGTATCCTGAATCAGGGTCCAAGAGTTCACTTGTTTGGGCAGCCTCTGGAGGAGTAGAGACATCTCTTGTGGGTACACTTGACAGTGTATCATGGATTTCATGGAACTGTGATAAAATTATCTCTGGCCTATCCAGAGCTCTCAGAACACAGGCTTGGGTGAGGAATCAAAAGAGCGCTTCACTGGGCTAGCCTTACCCTGGGGAATACTGGGGAAAGCCCAGAAGGTCCTCCTCTCAGTGAAACAAAAGAGAAATTAGGCAATGTCAGGTAGCTTTCTGGGCCTTGGAGGTGATAGGTCTGTTGAAATTCTAAAGGGGATGGGTCACAGAACTTGGAAAGTAGTAAAGGCTAGTGATAATCCAGGACAGTGCTTTAAAATCACAATAAACCGGGCTCCTTGGGCTCTTGTGGCCTTTGCATATGCTGTGCCTGAACTTTGGAACAACTTCCTCTCAAGTAGTACATCTATTCATATATCACCTCCCCAGGGAAAACTATGCTGTGGTCTATGGAATTCCTCTTGGGATAAAGCCTGAGTCCCAGGTATCCTCATCCCTCCCACCAGCCCAGGTCTGGCCTGAATATTTCACATGACTATTTCTGTTGCAGGTTGGTAGTAACAATCACCAAAAGGCATGCCCAGTCAAAGGACACAGTACCTGTGGAGGCCTAGGTCAGTTAGTGAAAGTGATCAATTCATTTTAGGACTAGCTAACTCTCAGACACTTGGAAAATGCACATTGGAGGGTGTATTAGCCCAGCTATGAGGTGCAACAAGCTGTTTTTATTATTATTTTTTTTTTATAATTTTGGTACCAGGGATTGTACCCAGTGTATTTAACCACTGAGTCACATCCCCTTTTTAATTTTTTTTTTTTTTGAGTCAGGGCCTTGCTGAGTTGCTGAGGCTGGCCTTGAACTTGCAATTCTTCTACCTTGGTCTCCCAAATCACTGGGATTATAAGCAAGAGCCACCACATCTGGCTAGTTGTGTTATTTCTGAATATTATATAATAAAGAAGTGATTGGCTTCTACTGAAAATATTTTCCATCTTTAGAATATGACAGAATGTATTATAAAGTTCACTTAAAATACAGAGCTGAGGTTGTGGCTCAGTGGTAGAGTGCTTGCCTAGCATGCTCAAGGCCCAGGGTTCAATCCCCACCACTGCAAAAAATAAAATTAAAATAAAAAAATAGGGGCTGGGGTTGTGGCTCAGTGGTAGAGTGCTCATCTAGCATGTGCAAGGTGCTAGGTTTGAGCCTCAGCAGCACATAAAAATAAATAAAATAAAGGCATTGTATCCAATTACAACTAAAAAAAATTTAAAAGATAAAAAAAATACACCAAATAAAATAGAAAGAAGGAAAGAAAACCTACAGAACAGGAGAAAATATTTGCAAATAAAACGGATAAGGGCTATTATCAGGAATACATAAAGAACTCCTAAAACTCAACACAGCAACACCCAATTTTAAAAAATGAGGAAAAGATCTGAATAGATATTTTTCCAAATAGCATAAGCAGATGGCCAGTGAGCACATGTTGACATCACTAGTCATTTGGGAGATGCAAATAAAATACAACAAGATGCCACCTTACACCTACTAGGATGGATACAATAAGGGAAAAAAGGAAAAAAGTGTTAGCAAGTATGTAGAGAAAAATGGAACTCTCATGCATTGCTGGTAGAAATGTATGGTAATATGTTTCTGTGGAAAACAGTTTGGAAGTTTCTCAGAAGGGTGAACATACAAGAATCATATGATCCAGCAATTCCACTCCTAGGTATATATCCACAAGAATCAAAAGCAAGGATTTGAGCCAAGTATGGAATCCCACGCCTGTAATCCCAAGCGATTCAGGAGGCTGAGCCAGGAGGATCACAAGTTTGAGACCAGACTCAACAATTAAGCAAGAGACCCTTTCTCAAATAAAAAGGACTAAGATAAAGAAGAATGAAATTTGCTGGTAAATGGATGGAAATGGAAACCATGCTAAATTAAATAGGCCAAACTCAGAAACTCAAAGGTCAAATGTTTTCTCTCATGAAGAAGCTAAAGTAAAATAAAGGAAATGAGGAGGAAAGGATTGGATATCATAAAGATAAAGGGAAGGTCAGCAGTGTATTAGATCAAAAGGCAGAGTGGAGGGATGAGAAAAGGGAAGCAATGCCGAATGAATTTTGTGCACATATAAATATACCACAGGGAACCTCACCTTTATGTATAAGTAAAAAGAACCAATCAAACATAAATAAATAGATGAGCAAAAGGAAGTTTAACAGAGTAGAGGAAGGGGAACAGGGAAGGGGAAGGAGGATGGGAGAAAAAAAGGGGAGAGAAAAGGATGGGATGGTGAACTGAAATTGAATCCCATGCATGAGTTCATTGGGATGAACCCAATTACTATGTATAACTATAAAGTTCTAATTTAAAAATTAAAAAGAAAACTTTAAAACTATTTTAAAAATAAAAAGGGCTGAGCATGTGGCTTTCTGGTAAAGTGCCCCTGGGTTCCCTCCCCAGTAACAACAACAAAAAAAAAGTTAATAAACCTTAAATGAAAACAGCATAGTATTGGCACCAAAATAGACTGGTAGACCAATGGTGCAGAATAGAGGACACAGAGACAAACCCACATAAATACGGTTATCTCATACTAGACAAAGGTGCCAAAAACATATTAGAGAAAGGATAACCTCTTCAACAAATAGTACTGGGAAAACTGGAAATCCATATGCAACAAAATGAAATTAAATCCCTATCTGTCGCCATATACAAAACTCAACTCAAAGTGGATCAAGGACCTAGGAATTAAACCAGAGACCCTACGTCTAATAGAGGAAAAAGTAGGCCTAATCTCTATCATGTGGGATTAGGCCCCCACTTCCTTAATAAGACTCCTATAGTGCAAGAAATAAAATCAAGAGTCAATAAATGGGATGGATTCCAACTAGAAAGCTTCTTCTCAGCAGAAGAAACAATCAGTGAGGTGAATAGAGAGCCTACAGAATGGGAACAAATTTTTACCATACACTCACTAGATAAAGCACTAATCTCTAGGTTATATAAAGAACTCAAAAACCTTATCACCAATAATAATAATAATAACAACAACAACAACAACCCAATCAGTTGGGCCAAGGAACTGAACAGATACTTCTCAGAAGATGATATACAGTCAATCAACAAATATATGAAAAAATGTTCAACATCTCTAGCAATTAGAGAAATGCAAATCAAAACTACTCTAAGATTTCATCTCACTCCAGTCA